GGAATTTGGAAGTTCTCCCTCCATTTTTATCTTTTTGAATAAATTAAATAGAATAGAATCCTGCTATAAATCCATCTGGTTCTGGGCTTTTTTTAGTCGGGAGTTTTTGTATTACTGTTTCAATTTTCTTATGTGTTATGGGTCTGTTTAAGCTGTTAATCTCTTCTTGGTTTAGTTTTGGTGTTCCCATGCATTTAGATCCCAGTCCATTTCTTGTAGGTTTTCAAATTTAGTAGCAGTTTTTAAAGTATTCCCTTATAATGTTCTGGATCTTTGTTGTCTGTTGTGATGTTTCCCCTTTCATCTCTGATTTTGTTGATTTGGAGGTGCTCTTTCTTTCTTTTGGTTTACTGGGCTAGGAGTCTGTCAATCTTGTTTATCTTTTCAAAGAACCAGCTCTTGGATTCATTGATTCTTTGTATTGTTTTCTTTGTTTCTGTTTCATTAATTTCTGTTCTAATTTTTGTTATTTCTTCTCTTCTGCTGGGTTTGGGTTTCATTCGTTGTTGCTTTTCAAATGTCTTGAGTTGCAATGTTAAGTCATTTATTTGTGTTCCTTCCTATTTTTTAATGTAGGCACTTAGAGCTTTAAACTGCCCTCTAAGGACTGTTTTCAACGTGTCCCAGGGGATTTGTTCTGTTGTATTGCCCTTTTCTTTTAGTTCAGGAATACTTTTCTTTCTTCAGTTCTCCTTTGACCCGTTCATCATTCAGGAGTGTGTTGTTTAATCTCCATGTGTTCATGTGGTTACTAGGGTTTCTTCCAGTATTGATTTTAAGCTTTATTGCATTGTGGTTTGATAGAATGCATGGAATTATTTCAAGCTTTTTGTATTTGTTGAGGTTTATTTTGTTCCCCAGTATATGATCGATTTCAGAAGTTCCATGAGGTGCTGAATAGAAAGTATATTCTTTGGTGCTTGGGTGGAATACTCCGTAGAAGTCTGTTAGGTCCATTTGATATAAGGTATTGTTTAATTCAGATGTCTCTCTTAACTCTCTGTCATGTTGACCTATCTAATGGAGACAGCGGGGTACTGAAGTCCCCTACTATTAATGAGCTGGGGTGAGTTCAAGGCCAGCCTGGTCTACATAGTGAGTTCCAGGACAGCTGGGGCTACAGGAAGACCCTGTCTCAAAAAAAGACCAAAAAAACCATCCTTCTCTCTTTGAAATTGCCTATGAGACCAGGAATTGAAAAAATAAGTTAATTGTTATATTTTTTTCCATCCTTTCACCTTAAGGTAGTGCCTGTCCTTGAAATCAAGTGAGATGAGTTTTTTGCAGAGAACAAAAAGATGGGTTTTGTTTCTTAATCCATTCAACTAGTCTGTGTCTTTTGACTGGGGAGTTCAGTCCATTGATATTTAAAGTTATTAATGAAAGATGTGTATTGAATCCTGTCATTTTTATTTCTGTTCACATTCTTGATATAGCTGTGTATTTCCACAGTTATACCTTCATTGAATTTCTTTCCATAACCCCTTGGGTGTAGTCATTCTTTTCTTCAGTTTTCTGTATTGTTTCCAGAACTCTCTGAAGGGCTGGTTTTGTGGACATGAATTCTTTCAGCCTATTTATGGCTGGGAAGATTTTTCTTTCCCCTTCAACTATAATAGACATTTTGGCTCTGTAAAGTAATCTGGGTTGGCATCTGTGGTCATTTAAAACTGGGAGTACTTTGGTCTAGGCTCTTCTGGCTTTCATAGCTTGCACTGAAAAGTCAGCTGTAATCCTAATGGGTTTTCCTTTATATATGTGACTTGTTATATATATGTGATATATATCTGACTTGTTTTTCTTTTGCAGCTTTCAGTATTGTCTCTTCGTTCTGTACGTTTAGTGTTTTTACTATGATGTGCCGTGGAGAGTTTCTTTTCTGATCCTGTCTATTTGGTGTTCTATATGCTTCTGGTATTTGTATGGGCATGTCTTTCATTTATTTTGGGAAATTTTCTTCTACAATCCTGTTGAAGATCTATCTGTTCCATACCATTATCTTGAGATTCTTCTCCTTCCTGTATGCCTATGATTCATTAGTTTGGTCTTTTTATGGTATCACACAATTCTTGTATATTCCATTCTTATGTTATTCATAATCTTTGCTTGAGTGGTCTAATTCATCCACTTTATCTTCCAGTCTTGATATTCTGTTTTACGTTTCAGTCATTCTCTTGGTGAGGCTTTCTCCTGTCATTTCTAATTGGCTTACTGAGTGTTTCATTTCCTTCTTCATTTCAGCCTGAGTAGTCTTCAATATTTCTAACTCTTTTCTGAATTCATTCACAAGTTTATCCCTATCTTCCTTCAGTTCTTTTATTTCTTTGTGTGTTCTTTAAATTCATTGAATTCTTTTATCGTGTGTATAATTGTTCTTTTGAGTTCAATGTCCTGCGTTATCTCTAGGGGCGTTCCCATTGTACTCCTCTAGAGGACTATTGGTACTTGGTGGGGATATATAATTTTGTTTTTTCATGTTATTATTTTTTTCTATTTGACTTTAACGTGAATTTCTTTTGTAGTTTCTGATTCTTGTGTGAGACTCAAGCCTTCCTTTTTTGAGTTTAGGTCTGCTTCTTTTTCTAAACTTTATGTGCCTTTGTGGTTTATTTGTTGGTCATGAAAAGCTGGTTGGTCTAGGCTTCAGGTTCTCTTTTGATTTTGTATTGGAGCGGTCAGATTGCTTTCTTCTTCAGGCATTCCCACATGGGGCCGAAGTCAGATGAGGATCAGATGCTCTCAGGCTTTCTCCTAAGGTCTGGATCCCTCCAGGAAAGATGCTGCCTTCAAGAATTTGGCAGCTGGGCTGGCCTGGGAGCAGGGCCCAGGAAAGATGCTGGTCTCAGGAAGCTGGTGGCTGTGCCAACCAGGGATGCAAAGGGATGTAACAGAGGGAAGAGGTCCCAAAGGCTCCTGGGGACTACTGGGAGGAACTGGGTTGGTCTGGATGTAAAGGATCAGGAAGCAGTGGGGATTCTGGGCCAAGAGGTCAGCCCAGGTGTCTGGGGTGCCAAGCCAAGAAATGGGCCAGTACCCAGGCTAGGAGTAGAGATGGGACAGGGTTGCTGGGAAAATGGGGTTGCTGGGAGCCTGGGGGTGTCAAGGCATGCTGGGTGCTGCTGGACTTACCCAAGGAAGGTGCTGGCACTAGGACACTGGAGGCTGTGCAGTCCAGGGAAGCAAAGGGATGTGAGGGCAGGACCAGGCCCAGAGGGCTCCTAGGGACTGCAGAGAGGAACTGGGTTGGTCTGGATGCAGAGGATCAGGAAGCAGTGGGGATTTCTTGGCCTAGAGGTCAGTCCAGGAGTCTGCGGTTCCAAGACAAGAACTGGGCCATTACCCAGGCTAGGAGGGGATGTGAGAGGGTGAATGAGGCTGGGGGAGTCAAGGCGTGGTGGGCTGCGGCACCCACCCAGGCAAGATGTTAGCACCAGGGATCTGGTGGCTGAGCTGCCCAGGGAAGCAAAGGTAGGTGGGGTTGGGTCCAGGCCCAGAGGGTTCCTGGGGACCACAGGGAGGAACTGGGTTGGTGTGGATGCAAAGGATCAGGAAGCAGTGGGGATTTCTTGGCCTAGAGGTCAGTCTAGGAGTTTGAGGTTCCAAGACAAGAACTGGGCCAGTACCCAGGCTAGGAGGGGATGTGAGAGGGTGAATGAGGCTGGGGGAGTCAAGGTATGGTGGGCTGCGGCACCCACCCAGGCAAGGTGTTAGCACCAGGGAGCTAGTGGCTGAGCCACCCAGGGAAGCAAAGGTAGGTGGGGGTGGGTCCAGGCCCAGAGGGTTCCTGGGGACCACAGGGAGAAACTAGGTTGGTCTGGATGCAGAGGATCAGGAAGCAGTGGTGGCTCTGGGCCAAGAGGTCAGCCTCAGTGTCTGGGGTGCCAAGACAAGAAATGGGCCAGTACCCAGGCTAGGAGGAGAGGTAGGGCAGGGGAGCTGGGAGGGTGAATGAGGCTGGCAGGGTCAAGGCACCACTGGTGGGCTCCACTGGACTTACCCAGGAAAGGTGCTGGCACCAGGACACCGGAGGCTATGCCCAAATGTATATTTGTAAGGTCACTTATTTTTGTTCTTTCTCAGTTTGTAGTTTCCAAAACTATTATTTAGGCTTTCAAATTTTGCATATTTAAAAAATAAACAAGCCAAGGTACAATTAGAATAAAATTGTAGCACAGTTTAAAAGAACTTTAAAACAACTTCCCTCTGAATAAATGAAATTTTTGACGTAGGCACTCATTTTTATAATGCTTTTATTCTTATAATAAAACTAAAAAAAATACCCCGAAATTTATGGTAAACATAAATACTAAATGTAAAGATTATTTATTGGTGCCTAAAGAATGATGAAATAAGAACAGTGAGCAAGTTGCAGTTTAGTGCTCTAAGTGTATTGCTAAAAACTACAGACTAGGTATTGCAAATTTTATTTCTTTATAAAGTTTTGCATGCATGGGGAACAGGGACTGGGATGTGGACAGATTTGGGGCAGGTTACTCTCTTTCCATGGCACATGTGCATAAACAATAGTGTAGCTAAGAAAGGAAGGGCTCACCAAGGGAGACTGGAGAGGGAGGGTCACATGAGATGCCCTATCTTGGGAAGAGTGAGCCTTTTAAGCACTACATTTTTATTTTCAGACATCAAAGCCTAAATAGAACTTAATTTAGCTGTTGACAGTCTCTTTGCCTCTGGTGAGAAAATAAAGGAAAATACACTGAACACAAGGTTTTTGTTGTCTGGAATATTTCCTGCAGGATGGCCCCAGAAGTGGCAGCTGTTGAGAGGAAAGGAGGATATAACCAGCTGTGTGACCTCTGGGCAGTGGGGATCACTGCCATAGAACTTGCGGAGCTCCAACCACCCATGTTTGACCTTCATCCGATGAGGTCAGTGTTCACTTGAATCACATACTCAAATTAAGGCTTTTTCCACGAACTTGGAAATATTTATTATGCCATGAACAAATAAATCTCTTGGTCTTGTTTTACTTTAGTTGGGCATAAATAAAAATATAGTTCTTATTATTATTAAAATTCTGTGTGATGTTTTATTCATTTTTCAGAGCATTATTTCTAATGACAAAAAGCAATTTTCAACCTCCAAAACTAAAAGATAAAATGAAGTGGTAAGTGTTTTTGTTTATTAACTTTTAGAGCAAAATGAGCAAAAAAGCATTTAAAATATGAAAGTCTAATTTTCAAACTTTCTTAGGTCAAATAGTTTCCATCATTTTGTGAAAATGGCACTTACCAAAAATCCGAAAAAAAGACCTACTGCAGAAAAGTTACTACAGGTATCATTTTTACCCTGAAACATACGTTTTCAAAAGATAGACTGTTTAATCAAATTTCTAATAAGTGTTCTATGTTTTCTTATAGCACCCTTTTGTTACACAGCCTTTGACGAGGTCTTTGGCAATAGAGTTGCTAGATAAAGTGAATAATCCAGATCATTCCACATACCACGATTTTGATGATGATGACCCTGAGGTAGGAATTGTTTTCACCATTCAATACACATAACTCTATACTTGTGTCTATGTTTCTGTCTGTTTGAATTTTTGTATCTACTTTAAATAAAACAAGCTCTCTGGGTATGGATTACATTCTGTGTCCTAGGAAGTCATGTAACAAGAGCTTTCTTTTTTTTTAATTATTTTTATTTTATGTGTATAAGTGTATTGCCTGCATGTATGTAAATGCACCTCTGTCGTGCAGTGCCCACAGAGGTCAAAAGAGGATGTCAGATCCCCTGGAACTGGAGTTAGGGATGGTTGTTAGCCACCATGTGGGTGCTGGGAACTGAACCTGGGTCCTCTGCAAGAGCAGCCAGTGCTCTTAAATGCTGAGCCATCTCTCCCTGCAAGAGTTTTCTTATTGGCTGCTTAATGACAGGTGTATGAGATGGCAAAGGCAAAATTATTTAATTCACTTGTTGCAATTACTATAGCTATTTCACAGTTGTCATTGTAGCTGAAGTTTCCAAGTCACGATAATATGCACCTAAATGCTGTTTGAATACACTCAGAATTTCTCTTCAGCTGTCTTCTTAAAAGAATCCTTATATCAGACTTCATAAAATATTAGGAATTAGTAAGGGTACAATTGACTTTGTTAATGACTAAAACCATAATCATCCATCATGTAAATAAAAACAATCCTATATATTTGTTAGAGTATAAAGTTACCCTAACATGGCAGCAGCATTGGCATTAGTGGAAATGCCACTCTGTTCATGTATTTATCATCCATAACACAATTAATAGTCATGCAGCTGCGCTAAACACAGTTACTGGGACTGTAACAGAAGTGGATGGATGGCCTTTAACGTGGTAGAAGGCACTTAAGAGGGTGCAGATTTCGGAGGTGATACTAAAGGGACAAGAAGCCTCTCTGTGACTGGGAAGATGGTCAGACTGTGCTCAGAGAGAACCCTCTGTCAAGTCAGCACTGTTCCAGCTTGCCATCTTTATATACTGATTAATAAACTCTCTCCTTTTGCTAAGTTCTGAGAGTTTGAAAATACAAAACTTAAATGTAAAGTACTTTTGACCTTATACTAAGAAGAAAATTGGATTTTGTTATTTTATTTAATTTTGTTTTTAAGAATAGTGGCTTTGTGCCAGGCCTGGTGGTGCATGCCTTTAATCCCAGCACTTTGGAAGCAGAGGCAGCTGAATCTCTGTGAGTTCAAGGCCAGCCTGGTCTACATAGTGAGTTCCAGGCCAGCTGGGGCTACAGGGAGACCCTATCTCAAAAAGACCAAAAACAAAACAAAACAAAAGAATATTGGCTTTGTAAATTCTGTTATTCAGTATATAGGCTGTCCTAGATTTGCATAGTTGTGTAAGAGCTGTAAAAGTGAGCCGGATGTGGTAGTACATTCCTGAAATCTCAGCAATCAGAGGCTAAAGCAGGAGAATTGTCAGTTCAAGATCTGCCTGGGTGCATAGTGAAACCCTGACCATGTAATCCTTAAAAACAATCTTAATAATCAGTGGGAAAAATTAGAATTTTTCAATAAGATTTTAATTTTTTCCCAGAACATTACTCTGTTACTATCAATTGTAAATATATAGAAAAGTAGATATTATTATGTAATGTTAATAGGAAGTCAAACTGATATTTATAGTAGTACACTAAAATACTAGACCCATTAAAAATTGTTTTTTAATATTTTATTTATTTTATGTGTATGAGTGTATTGCCTGCATGTATGTAATGTCATGCAATGCCTGCAGGAGTCAAAAGAGGGCATCAGATTCCTCTGGAACTGGAGTTATGGACGGTTACCCACCATGTGGATGCTGAACCCAGGTCCTCTGCAAGAGCAGCCAGTACTTTTAACTGCTGAGCCATCTCATAGACATAAAATAAAAATAATAAAAAATTTTTTAAAGATTTAATAATGTATAAGCCGGGCATGGTGGCACATGCCTTTAATCGCAGCACTCGGGAGGCGGAGGCAGGCAGATCTCTGTGAGTTCAAGGCCAGCCTGGTCTACATAGGGAGTTCCAGGTCAGCTGGGGCTACAGGGAGACCCTATCTCAAAAAGAAAAAGAAAAAAGATTTAATAATGTATAGTTAGGCCACTGAAGCTGAGAAAAGAGTTGGCATAGTCATCTACACTTAATAATAACAGTCAGTATGACCAACCTGATACACAATACCTATTTAGTTTATTTTTGCTACTGTATGTAGTGACCGAAAGCCCAAGGTTTCTCAGCTTTGTGGCTAACTAGCTAAATGTTTTGTCATTTAATTTTGAGGCACCGGGTTCTCATCTGTAAAGTGAAGAATAATACCTAATGTACAAATTATTTTGAGGATATAAGCTAAGATACAGAGAAGCAGTTTGTACACCTAACTTTCCAAATAACTTTTGCTTGTTTCACTATAATCAGTATTGTACTATTTGAGTCTTTCTAGATGTGTCCGTTTTGTTTGCTCAACTGTGCCTGCAGTGTTAACTTGGCTTCCGTTGTGGTTTTTGTTGTTATTTCTTGTTTTGATTGGTTTGTTTTGGTTTTTTGTTTTTGTGGTGCGAGGTATTGAACCTAGGGCCTCTCTATTATAGGAAACTGTGGCATAGGAATCGCCATGCACAGAAAAGACACTGGAGACCAGAAGTAGAGAAATAGGGAAAGATTTATTTACGCCAGCAGAATTGAACAGAGTTGCTTCCAAAAGCTCGAGCCCTGATTCCAGTTTCTTTACATCTTTTATACTCATTGGTGGACAGGTTTACATTTAGCCTACATGACCAGAGCCTGTAGACCTGGGTGTCTGGTGACCACAGTCAGGAGATTCTTGCAGCAAGCATATTTACAGAAGCAGAAGCAAAGATTAAGAAAACAGGGGAAACATCTGTAACAGGTCAAGGGAGACATCTGCAACTCATTATGCTTCAAGCTAGGGTTGCAAAGGTTGGGGTGGCTGTTTTTTAAGGTAATGCTTATCACAAGGTGGATCCACCAGTCCTGAAACCATATCAGTCCCCTATTTGATGCCCCTTTATTTTATCTAGAGCGCATCATCTTCTCCTGTATCTTCCATGCTTAGCTGTTGGTAATTTTGGAGAAGCATTAAGTGGGCTATAGTCCTAAATTCTATGGCTAGATCTATGAATCCCCTTAGGGATTTTCCAAACAGAGCAATAAGCATGGGATGATTAGGCATCTTAAACAGACTATGAGGGTCTTAAAGCCTCAGACCTGGGAAGGAAACAACTCAAAAGAGCCTATCAGGGTTCCATCCTTTCCAGGTGTGGACTGAGACATAGGCCATTTCCTGTATTCTTTTGGTAATTTTAAAAAGGTTTTATTTATTATTTTTATTTTATGTGTATGAGTATATTGCCTGCATGGATGTAAGTGCACCCCTGTCATGCAATGCCTATGGAGGTTAGAAGAAAGCATCATATCCCCTGGAAATGGAGTTACCCACCATGTGGGTCCAGGGAATCAAACCTGGGTCCTCTGCAAGAGCAGCCAGTGCTCTTAACTGCTGAGCCATCTCTCCAGCTCCTTGTTTTTTTGTTTTTGTTTTTGTTTTTTAATTTCTTACACCTCACCTTTTTCATCTTGTTCAAGACAACAGTTGGTTAAATTAAATTTTCCACATCCCCCTCCTTCCTTAGCCAGCAGATGGTCCAGAGCCAGTCTGCTCTGGTAAGTCAAGCAGTGTCATTAGTTATGATCTCGAGGGTTGCCTGCAATCAAATGATATGATTCAGCATATAGATGGGGTCCTATATCCCCAAGAGCCGTCCTCTGCCCAGGTGATAGGCCTATAATATTGGTTTATTCTTTTGGGTGGCCATTCGTCATCCTTCTAATTTTCTATTTTTAAAGTTGGTTCTGTCTCCTTTAAATTTTTTTTTTTTTTTAATTTTAAAGCCGGGCATGTTGGTGCATGCCTTTAGTCCCTGTACTTGAGAGACAGGGGCAGGTGGAGCTCTGTGCGATCATGGCCAGCCTTGTCTACCTAGGGAGTGCCAGGCCAGCTGGGCCTACAGGTAGACCTTGTCTCAAAAAGACAAAAAAACCCAAAAAAGTTACCCATGACCCTGTAAATTGGTGCTGGGGTTTAAACTTTTTTTTTTTGTAATTTTATTTATTTTTATTTTATGTGTATGCGTGTATTGCCTGCATGTAGGTAAGTGCACCCATGTCATGCAGTGCCCACGGAGGTCAGAAGAGGCTGTCGGATCCCTTGGGACAGTTGTTAGCTGCCATGTGGGTGCTGGGATTCAAACCTGGGTCTTCTGCAAGAACAACCAGTGTTCTTAACTGCTGAGCCATCTCTCCAGGTGCTGGGGTTTAAACTGATGCCTTCACACATGCTAGGCAAGTGCTTATCCCCAGCTCTTAATAACTATTCAAAAATTCAAGTGATATATAATCCTTCCCTTCCTGTTTCACACATATGTAATCTCCAAAGCTTTCTATAATAAGTAATATTGTGATGCAGATTATTCACTTAATGCATTTAAAGTTTGGATTCTGTGTCAGTTCTGCAAACACATGAGAGAACCTGTCTCTCTCCAGCAGCCGTGTTGTTATGTTCCTTCAATAAGATTGCTCTCTGTCTTTCCACAGTGATAATTTCATTCCCCTTCCACTTCAACCTCTGATTCCCTCCCATATTCTTGCTCTGGTGCTCTTCCAGGGGTGTCCTATCTTTTGACATTGCAATATGATGTCATCATCTACAGATGTGTTGAACCACGTGCTGTTCTGGGATATATGCAGCCCTTGGGCCACAGGTTGGACATGCTTGTTTGAGTATATTCCTGTCTGGTTCCACTCACAGTCCCTGGTCCAGTGTCTGAGCCCAGGCTTGGTTTTGCTGAGTCAAAGTGCAAGAGCAAGTTTCCTCTCTTCTCTTGCCCGTAGCGTATCTGCTTGTATTTGAACACTACAGTAGTTCTCCATGCTTTCTTTCTTTGAGGTTTCAGTTGCCCTTGTTCAATGGTAGCCAGAAAATA